TCTTCCACTAGAAAATAAGTTCCTTACAAGGAAGGATTGTTTCATTCTTTGTACTTATAACCCCACTAAGTAGCACAGTGCCTGGCATTTAGTAAACATGTAATACTTCATAGGTTAATCATAACAGAGGCAGAAGGTTGGTTAGTGAAGAAAAGTTCCATTCATGTTGAATATGGATTCAATTAAATATTAAAGTCTCTTCCACAACGAATAAGCTCACCTCTTGAAATCTTCAGACATTACATTGCAAAAATGGAATTTTTCACTCAGGCTCAGTGGTAGCATAAGTTTTTTAGCATGAGCGCTTTTAATAGAGCCATATTAGCAATTCCGTACTAAGAACCTTTTCTACTAAGTTGTGTAAGAAATAAAATTGATACAGAGAAATTACAAGTGAGGTACAGATGAAAGTAGCTAAAGTTCAACATATAGTTGAGAGGAAGCATTCCCAGTAATCTGCAACTTGCAAGCTATGTCATCATCTCTCCCTCACAAATAAGGTGCAAAAAAAAAAAAAAAATTAAGCTCCCAGCACCATCGCAGTACATCCCCTCTAAAAGGTGAAATCAAGTTGAAGGGCTGGGCCAGGAAGGCTGTGATGAATCATATGAAATAAAAGGAGAGTCACGTCATACAAACGAAAATAAAGCCAACTTACTAAGTTACAAATTTACTGGGACTTAAAATTGAATTTGTATTTATTGTAGGTTAACTAGTTCTTTGAAAATGGTGAAGCTTTTCCTTGGCCCCATTGCCAGGAAACAACTACCCACAATTACTATCACTAGCATCCCTTTAAAACAGCCCAACTCCATAAAGACAACTCAGTATATCATTGTAGGCATTTCTAAAGTCTGTCCCACCAAATAAATTCTGAATAAGTACTTTTCTGCAAAGAAACTATTCACAAAAGAGAACTCAATCTACAAGCAAAATATAGGTGTTAGGTTATTAGTGACACTTGCTATTTAAGAAATTCCTAAACAGACAAAATCTTAGACATATTCTATGTTATTTCTAGCTTAAGGGTCTTCCTGATTTTCTTCTCTCTCTGATTAGTCCTCTTTCTTTTTTGGTGACTTCTTATGCTTATTATGGCCCATGACAGCTGGTGTTCCCCAAAGCTCTGTCTTAGACTTTGAACTCTTCTCTTTATTTACTTTGCTCCCTTTCAGGTACCCACATCGAAGCTTCAACTATCATATTTACACTGTTGACTCCTGAATCCATATAATTCTGAAATTCTCAGCACCTTTCCAGTAGTTTTTTTTGGGGGGGGGAGGGGGAGGTGATGAAATTGGGGTTAAGTGACTTGCCCAGGGTCATATAACCAGTAAATGTCAAGTGTCTGAGGCCAGATTTGAACTCAGGTCTTCCTGACTCCAGGGCCAGTGCTCTATCCACTACATCACTTAGTTGCCCCCCACTACTGTATTTTCCAAGTGCCTGAGAAGGGATGTTTACTTAACCTGTGCTGACAGCACAATAAATTCAACATGACTAAAACTGAATTCAGATAAAAAACATTATCTTAGAATAAGTCAGGCTCTTCCCCACAAAAAAACAGGGAAGCTCTATTATCCCGTCCACTTCTGTCAATGGCAACATTTCTCCAGTTCCCCAGGCGATGTCAAATTTGGAGTTATCTTTGGCTGCTTTCTGCTCCTCCTTCTCTTATTATACACAATTACTATTATGAAACATATATCTATAAGCAGGCTCACAGGATCATAGGATTCTGAGCTGGAAAGGGCTTTAGGATCATCTACTCTCATTTTCTTTTCACAAATGAGGAAAATGACCTTGAGTAAGGTTAGGTGACTTGTCCAAGAGCACAAAGCAGCAGGGCCCAGGCCTAGTGTTCATTTGACTACACTGTGCTACCTCTACATGTCTATATGTGAAGACTCACTATTTTTAATCACTGATACATCAGATTTAGTCCTTGATTTTTCAATCCATAACAGTAATACTCTCTAGATCAAGGATATTCCAAATCCAGCATTTTTCTTCATTATACCATGGTCTGCATTGTCTTCCCCAGTAGATAAGCTTTTTTGTCTTTTTATCCACAGTACTTTGTACATAGGAGATAGGGATAAGGAATGGACCTAAAAAATTCATTGGTACAAGGAACTCCCAGGTAAAGAAACTGCCTCTTTCAACACAAGTTGGCATTTTCTCTCTAATTTATAATCTTAAGAAGTTGCCCAGAATACTGAGAAGTTAAATGACTTGTCAAGGGTCACACAGCCATTATCTCTAAAAGGCCAGACTTGAATCCAGGTCTTCCTGGTTTAAGGTCACTGTCTATCCACAACACTCTGCTGCCTCTTCTATATATCCTGTACATAATAGATGCCATTTGGTGCCAGGGTGAAGTAGCTGAAAGGTGAATTTAAATACTTAAGAAAGTGGTGCCAAATCAGAGTTCAGGAATTGCATCAGGTCTTACCAGGACAGTGAAAACTGTCGATCCAATTAAAACAAAGAAAATAAAAACTTCATAAAGAAGGGTTTTACTGTAAGTATGCAAAGTACAAGTAAACAGTACTTGCAAATGTCCCAGATACAAAGAAAAGTACTATGATTCAGGCAAGGTTTGAGTGCCAAGGAAAGCTAAGGAAATAGGAAGCAAGAAATGGTCACTCACCTGGTCAGCCTCTGCATGCACCCAAGTTCTTTACATCTAGCCTTCCGTTTCCTTATCTCTTGATATACAGAAGCTATTCTGGATGTATAATCTAGTACTGCTATCTCACTGCTTTGATTTACCATGAATTGGAATACTCAGAGCTAGAAACACATGATGTGTCTCATCTGTATGTCCCTGTCTCGATTATGTCCTACTGAGATGTCACAAACTATTTGCTCAAGAGGAACACAGGCTTCTACAAAGACAGGTCCTAGTTTTATTTTTTTATTTCAAATATGCTGCCTGATGATATCTAGCATTTTGTGAGCATCTGGGACTGCAGCAGCATATTAGACTTTTGTCTGCCCTGGTTAGAATAAATCTGGAGAAATGTGTTAAGTTCTGAGTACAATATTTTAGGAAGAAAATTAATAATCTTGAGGGCATCCAGGGGAAAGCCAGCAGGATGATAAAGAACCTCAAGTCATGTGAGAATTGGCTGAAGAAACTGAGGATGCTTGGCTTGGAGAAGTGAGAGGGAAGAGACAACAGCAGCACAACACCCATTCTGAAGTACTTGAGAAGATGCCTGTAGAAGGTAAACTAGATTTAGACTAGTTCTTTTGATCTCAGAAGGAATGTAGCTGCCAAGATGCAAATTTGGATTTGATGATGATGAAAAACTTTTAAAGAGAGTTTTTCTCAACAGTAGAAAGGAGTGTTTCAGGAGCTAGGAAGTAGGTTGCCCTCACTAGAGATCTTCAAGCAAAGGCTAGATGTATCACAGAAGAGATTATTTTTCAGGTTCAGCTTAGAGCAGACGGGCACTGAAGTCCCTCTTAATGTGAAACTTCTTTGACTGTTCAAGAAATAGATACAAGTTAGTTACTCCTCAGTTTTTTTCCCTGGGACACAAAGCAAGAAGTTGAATGCCTATCATGCTATAAATACAGATGGCTATATAACGTCCCATCTTACTAGCATAAAGAAAGCTCATTAGATAATTTTTGCCTAAACCAGGGGTGGGGAACCTGTGGCCTCAAGGCCACATGTGGCCTTCTAGAACCTTGGGTGCGGCCTTTTGACTCAGTCCAAGTTCTATAGAACAAATCCTTTTATTAAGGGGATTTGTTCTGTCAAGTTTGGATTCAGTCCAAGGGCCGTACTTCAGGACCTCGAGGCCTCAAAGGCCACAGGTTTCTCACCCCAAAACCACGGGTCTGCAGAGAGCCTCCCCAAATTTATCCACTGGGTTTGGCTTTTCATTAACTATCTGAACTCAATGTCTTCAAGTCACTGTTTCTCAAATCAGAGGTTTCAACAACCCACAGTTTTTCTCACACAATTTAACCTTAAATTGACTCTTCTATGAATACCTCAAAAGGTCTGCAAAACCCTTAAGGACAAGGAATGAATTCTTTTAAGAATTATAATCATGTTACTCTAAGGGAGTGAAGCTATTTCATTTTGAAATGACTCATTCACCGAGTAGGAATCAATGGAGCTCTGAACATCCCTCTTTCTGATTCCACTAAGGAATGAACCCTGAACATTGCCTATATTAGAGATTGGGAAGAAGAGTCAGTCAAAGAGAAACAGAACAAGTGGCCAGAAAAGCTGAAAAATTATGATAGTGTGGCATCACTGTAGCAAAGAGAACAAATTTTTTCTAAAAGGAGAGAACAATCAACAGTGACCAACACAGAAATACTCTTAGCTTGTTCTTATACTTTAACCCAAGAAATGTGGATCCAATTTAAAGAAGTTGGTGGCACAGGTAAATAATTTAGAAATAAAAGAAATTTCTTATTCTGAATTGAATGAGGGCAGATCCAATTATTTTTGAATGTCAGTTGCAATAGTACATTAATGCATTTATGCATGGTTTAACTTTAACAAATTCAACAAATAAATTCTGGAAGATATTGTGTTAACAAGAAGATAGATCTTCTATCTTCTCTAGAAACTATCTTCTCTAGAAAAATTGTTTCTTCAAGGTTTAGTAACTCCATTTCTTTCAACGCAAAAACATCATTTTTAGAAACACATACTTTCCCCTCTCCATTGAGACTACTACCTATAAGGCCATATATAAAACAGAAGATATTTTCTTAAAACAAAATAGGGAAAAAAAGAGAAGTCTAAGGAAAAATAAAACTTACCTTTCATTTGAATAAATCATCATCCCAACTCTAACACTACTACTCCCAAACTATACTCTTCAAACTATATTTGCTGAACAAGTTAAAATCTTTACACATGAGTTACTAAAAAATTTGCCCAACAGAAGGAAATGAAAGAAAATATGATTTGAAAAATGACATTAAAATAATCACAAAAACATGTAAAGTTACAGAAGTCTCACCTTAAATCTCTTGTCCTGCAGTACTTTTTTGATGGCAACTAGTTCTCCTGAATCACAAAGTTTGGCTTGATACACTACACCAAATGACCCATTCCCGATCACCTTAGTGTCTGTATAACTGACTTCCTGTGGCCTGTCTGGACCTTGTCCAGGAGTCGCCACCACTGTTGTCACCTTGCTGCCATCCTTGTCTCCTGGAGAAGAAATCACAAAAAGCATAGTATCAAAATAAATCTCCATAAACAAATCTTCTAGATTCTAGATACATTATTACAATTACAATTAATTTAAGAGTGCCTGAGTGTGAGGAAAAACTGCTTTGGAGGGTTATCTTAAGTCTCTTTGTACAAGAGCAGCTATCACTTAGAAACTCCACAAGAATATATTCCGTATGAAAATTTTAAAAAAATTAAATCACAATGAAGCAGAAAACCTCTAAGTACACTGTCATCATTTGGTAGGGGAGGATACAGAGTCTTAGAATGGTAATGGTTAACATTTTTTTTAAATTTTTTACTTTTAAAAGAAAACAATACAGCCATCTGAAAATAAGATCTCAAACAAGGAAAACTGGTATTAAATACAATAAGAAGTATGAACGTTGGATGAACTCAAAATAGAAATTAAGAAGCACTGTGGTATAGCAGAAAGAACATTCAATCTAGAGTCTGAGAACATGGGTTTGAATCTGTGTGACCTTAGAAAAGTCATTTGCCCTCCCTCCCCAGATCTCAATCTCCTTCTCCATAACATGAAGGTTTAGAACTGGAGTTATAGAGTTCCTTCTGACTTAGTATCTATAAGCCCATCCATCACTGTCCTCCATATGCTATACAGCACAGAATATTAAAAAGCATGAAAGCACTATTGGAGGATATCTATGCTAAAACCCTAATATTCAAGGAATCGTGGAAAATTACAGATAAAAGGAATATTAAAGGTCTGGCTAGCCTTTTCATTTTGCAAATGGGCAAATTTAATTTCTTATACTGAGATTATTCAACAGTAAAGTTAAAATATATTTCTTTTATACAAAGATTTTAATGTTTTGATGTTTTACAATAATCTTAATAACATAATTTTAAAACATTCTAACATATGTTATAAGTAAATGCTTAATCAAAAACATGCTCATTTCACTTGATCTATCTTTATTTCTATTTTAATATGTATTAGTAATGAAACAATGCAGTTAAGCATATCTGTGGCTGTGTGAATCACTTGATCAAACACTGAGACTAATGGTTTTGGTTCCTTCTGAGACATTCTACTTTTGTTCTCCTAAATAGCTACACAAGATTAAGGTGGCCCTAACTAACCATCTTTAAAAGGTATACCCCTAGTCACAAAGGGGATTCAGGCAAGAAAATATGCATGTTTATCATCAGTACTAGAAAAAACTCAATGCTATATTCCAGGCGTCTTATAGCCATGAGCTAAGAATGCTTTTTACATTTTAAAGTCAATTTTTATTGTATGTAAAAATGTAAAAGCCATTCTTAAACAGAAACAGGAAGTGACGCCTGTTATGTCCTATTTATGATAGATCAGAAACAGCAATTTTAAATACAAAGGAAAATTCATATAAGTTGTAAATAAAGAACATATACACATTTTTTAGAGAGACAGACAAACAGTGCTAATTGGTACCTTATAAATTTGTGCTATACTACTTCAAACGGGTCTTCACAGCAGCAAGGCAGCATTTTTATTCCTGATTCCCTATCTCACACTTTATAAAAGCTATTCCAAATCTTCTATTCCTTCCTCAAGCCCCCCATGACTCCTCCTTCTTCCTCTCAGTTGAGGAACTTGGCCCTAACTTTATTGAAAACAATGAAGGCCAGTCAACAAGCTTCCTCTTCTCCTATATTCTTCATTTTGAAACTCTGTGATATGTCCCACTTTATTCTCCTTTCCACTAGTCTGTCAAAGAGAGATAGCCCTTCTCCTTGCCAAGGTCAATCCCTCTACACATGTACTAGAACCCACCCCTCCCATCCTCTCCAGTGGACTGCATCCTCAATCATCCCCCTTCTTATCAATCATCAACTGATTCCTTTCCCTACTGCTTTTAAACATGCCTTAATCTCTCTTGTGCTCAAAAAACCTTCATTAGACTCTACTACTGGGGGCAGCTAGGTGGTGAAGTAGATAAAATTTCAGCCTTGGAGTCAGGAGGACCTGAGTTGAAATCCGGCCTAAGGCACTTGATACTTACACTTACTAGCTGTGTAACCCTGGGCAAGTCACTTAACCCCAATTACCTGAGCTAAAAAGAAAAAAAAAAGACTCTACTATTCCCTCAAACTATCATTCTGTATCTCCCTTTCTCAAATCAACTTACGTAGTCTGTATTTGCTGACTTCACTTACTCTCCACTCAGTCTCTATTGCAATCTGGCTTTCAACCTCATCTTTCAACTAAAATTGCTCTCTCTACTATCACCAATGAACATATTACCAAATCTAATGGTCTGTTTTCAGTCCTCTTCCTTCTTGATCTGCATCATTTGACACTGTTGATCACCCTGTTCTTTTGCATACTCTTTTCTCTATGGGTTTTCTTGACACCACTCTCTCCCGATTCACCTTCTGCCTGTCTGGCTTCTTCTTGGTGTCTTGCTGGCTCATCACTCTTCTCACACTCCCGAGCTCTGGGAACTGCCAAAGATTCTGTTCTGGGTCTTCTTCTATTCCCCTCTACTCTCTCTTCATAAACTCATCAATTCCATGGGTTTAGTTATCAGCTTTATGAAGATAATGCATAGATTAGACAGAGAGATAGAAATAGACAGAGCCAGCTCCAAGATCTTCCCCAAGCTTCATTCTCAAGTCACCAATTAAGTATTATACATATCAAACTAGAGACACCCTAAATGAGATACATCTAAAACTGAACTCACTATCTTTTCCTTCATACCGTCCCCTCTTTCAGACTTCCTTATATGTGTCAAACGCACTACCCTCCTTTCAGTGCCTCAGGTTCATAATCTTGGCATTATCCTGGCCTGTTTATTCTCTCTCATCCCACATATCCAATCAGCTGCCAAATTTTACTGTTTCTACCTTCAAAACCTGTCTCACATTCAACCCCTCTATCCACTCACATAATTACCACAGTAGTTCAGGCCTTCATCATCTTCAGACAACATTACTGCAGTCTCCTAATTATTTGGCCTCTCATCTCTCTAGTTCATCCTACACAATACTATACTGCCAATTGATGATTTTCCCTAAGCATGGATACGTCCATGTCCTACCCTATTACTTCCAGGATCAAACATAAAATCCTCTGCTCAGTTTTTAAAATTCTTCATAGCCTTCATAAATCTCTCCCTACCTTTTCATTCTTCTTATACTTCACCCCTTCCACATACTCCGCAATCCAGTGATATTACCTTTCCTTGCATACAATACTCCGTTTCCAACTGCAGGCATTTTCACTGACTGCCTCCTCATGCCTGAAATTCTTTCCCTTCTTCATCTCTGCTTACTGCCATCCTGTGCTTTCTTCAATCCTTAGATTAAGTTCAACTTTACCCAAGACGACTTTCATAGGACTACTTAATCTTAGTGCCTTCCCTCTGAGAACATCTCTAACTGAACCTGTATACATTTTATTTTTAACATAGTTGTTTGCATGTTGCCCTCCCACTGGATTGTGAGATCCTTGAAAGAAAGGAGTGTCTTCTACCTTTCTTTCTAAGATCCCCAGTACTTAGCACATGGCTGGTGCTTAACAAATGCCTATTGTCTATTCAACCAATTCCAGTCAATTCCTATTATCTTTAGGATCAAATAAAAACTTGTCTGTTTAACTCTCTGACATACAGTTATACACACATATATATACACACACATACACACATGTGATGTGTATATCTATGATATAGCTATATATTTGTTTATATATCTGATGTTATACATATTTGTTATATAGAAATATCTGCTACACACGTTTATATATATAACCATATGTATATATGTGTATGTTAATTGTTTATACATCTTGAATACTAAACTCTTATCAGAAAATTGTAATACAAATTTTGTTTTCCCAATAGACCACTTGCCTTCTAATCCTCAATGTATTCATTTTGTTTGTGCAGAAGCTTTTCAGTTTCATGCAATCAAAATTATATAACTTTTTTTAACTGTACCCTTGTTTAGTTAAGAGTATATCTCTTACACCCAGTTGCCCCTAGACCAACACTTCATATCACAGTGCATTTAAATGGATAGGTGACATTAATATTAAAACTCACACTATAAAAAAAAATTATAAACCTTCATTGCTCTATCATCCCCCCCCTTTTTTTTAAATCAATACTGGATGTTTTTGATAACTGCTGCTTTGTAATATGGTTTAACATCTGGAAATGCTATTTCTACTTTGTTCCTATCTTGTTTCATTATTTCCCTTGATATTCTGGAGATGTTTTATATTTCCAAATCAATTTTGTCATTTTACTGAGTTCTGTAACTATCCCTTTGATAATGTGATTGATATAGCACTAAAAGCATAAATTAGCTTTGGTATTTTCATTTTTATTATATTGGCACACCCTAGCCATGAGCATTGAATATTCCACCAGCAACTTAAGTTGTTTTTTTTTTTAAGGAGTACTCGGTAACTGAATCTATGCAGGTATTTTGAGTGCTTTGGTAGACTGAACCCCAGAGATTTTATGCATTTTGCACTTATCTGGAACTGATTTTCCTTTTCTATTATTGCCTCTTGATTTTGTTACTATGTAGAAATGCAGTTGAGTTTTGAGGGTTTATTTCATAGTCTACAACTCTGCTGAAGCTACTTCTTGATTACCGCATCTTTGTTGATTCTCTAGTATTTTCAAATAATCCATCATATCATCAGCAAATTGGGACAGCATTATCTTCTCTTTATGCCTTCAATTTCTTTCCCTTTTCTTATTACTCTTGCTAGTGTTACCAAAACTTTATCAAAGAACAATGAAAAGACTGGGCATCACTGCTTTACTCCTGTATTTATTGAACCCCACTATAAATTATGCTTGCTTTTGATTTTAGATACTTTTTGATACTAAAAGAAAGAAGAAAAGGTTCCTCCACAGCTATACTTTATGGGGGGCGGGGGTGTTGCATAAATGTATGTTGTACTTTGTCAGTAGCTTTATCTGCATCTATTGAGATAATCATATGGTTTGGAATGTTTTTATTCTTAATATGATTAATCGATTTCCTAATGTTGAAACATCCTTGCATCTTTGGTATAAATCCAACTTGGTCATAATGAATGCTTTCTGTAGTTTTGCTTAACTTATTATTCCTTCTTTTTTCTAGTTATTTAATTATTTCCCTTTTTTCCTCTCAGTTAAGTAAGCAAATAAAATCCCTTTCCAATATTTTACATTTTCTTTGTCTTTTTCTAAAAAGAATTTCTTTCTATTTCTGAAATCAACAGGCTTTTTTTAGGTGTCTACTTCAATTAGGAAAGGGGAAAAGAATAGCAGTGGAGAATGGTAAAAGAATACCAGGGATGATTCAACATGGGGGGCAATAACCAAGAAACTATTTAGGCTAGTATGCCAAACAAAATGGCTCATCTGGCAGGTTACACTCTACTGAGGGGTTTGCTGAGTGACTCTGCAAGTTCTCTCTCTCTCTCTCTCTCTTTTTTCTGTTGAGCCAATTGGGGTTAAGTGACTTAACCAGGGTCACACAACTAGTGAGCGTTGTGTGTCTGAGGCTGGATTTGAACTCACGTCCTCCTGACTACACAGCCAGTGCTCTATCCACTGTGCCACCTACTTGCCCCGCCAAGTTCTCTTTATCCAAAGGTAAAGGGATCACCACATTTCTGATAAACTAATATAGAAAGGTGATTCATTTCTGTAGAGATAGGTAGTAAAATAGAATAATCATTCTTTTCTAGCTGTCAGTTTATTTATAAGTAGAGAAAATGCTATTTTTTGAAAATACCTTAACTACATTTGATTTTGGATTTTGTCCAAAGTAGAAGTATAAGAGTAATATAAACTCAGAATCAACTCATCATATGATGAACTAAACACTAAGCATTTACAGCTGTCAGTTGAAATATGTTGTACTCTGACTATTAAGAAAAAGCATTTTAATCATTCCTTTCAAGTGATCAAAATTCATTCAAATTTAAAATCATAACTATGCTTCATATCCAAGAAATTGTGCACCAGTGAGTCTGATACCAGCTTTCCTGGAACACATAGTACATCAAGTCTCACTGCTATTACATGACCCTACTCATGACATCAGAATCCATCTGCCATTTCACTGCATCTCCTTTCTGTGGATTACCTAAATCCAAAAGAAAATAAAGCAATGACTGACAGTTCCAAACTCCCTTCTGCTAATGATATATCTTGATTCCTCTAGGCCCTAGCTTTTCTAAAAATCTCAAAGAATTCAGAATCAACAAGTTTAAACTCTGTAACATTAAAACTTAAAACTGTATCTCTCTTTTTTTTTTAAAGGCAGGCAAATCACAGATTCTATTACGTAAATCTTCAACAGATATCACAAAAATAAAAGATGGCAAACTTCAGACTAATCAAAGCAGTACCATCATAGAAATAGAGCATTTCGATGTAGGGAAAATTGTGAATTGGTTCAACCATCCTAGAAAACAATTTAGAAATATACTAGAAAAGGCATTTTAACACAGAAATACTAATAATGGACAGACAGACACACACACACACACACACACATACACTCCCATGGTGATAACTTGGCAAAGAGAATGGTCTCGTGTGTACAAAAATACTTTTAACATCGCTTTTTGTGGTAGCAAAAAACTGATGCAAAATGGATGCTCATAAATGGATGAAAAAGTATGTGTGTAAATGTAATAGAATATTATTATACATTATATATAATAATATATAAATAATTAATAGGAGGAATTCAGAAGTTATGGGAAAATTCATATGAACTCATGGTTCTGCTTCCTTTACTCTAGAAAGAACAATTTAATACAATGACCATAATTATGTAAAGAAAAACAATTTTTAAAGATATTAGAGGCAGCGAAGTAGCATAGAGGACTTAAGAGTCTGGAAGAGCTGAGTTCCAATCCTGCTTCAGAAACTTACTAGCTGATTGACCTTAAGCAACTCACTGAACCTCTCTCAGATTCAGTTAACTCATCAGTAAAACAGGAATAATTATAGCACCTCCCTCACAAGGTGGCCATGAGAATCAAATGACATAATATTTGTAAAGTTCTTGTAAGACAAAAAAATTAAATTAAAATATCTGAACCCTGATCCATACAACAACCAGTCCTGACTCTGAAGACAATGAAATATACTTCTCTTGGCTGAGTAGTGGTTGACTAAGTATATAATGAGGCATCTGCTGTCAGATGTGGTTTGTTCAGTGGCTGTTTGCTTAAATACACTGCACTGTGTTAGGAGAAAAATTCTAAGAAATGGGTGGGAGTCAAGGGAACTACAGTTTGTAAAGGGAAGATGGTAAGGGATTCACAGGATAATGAACCCAGTCAACTCATATTCCTCATACAGGGCATTCCATAATCGACTTGGAGCATTTTCACTGGTTGTTCCCCCTGCCTGAAACTCTCCTATCTCTCATCTCCACCTCCTACCTTCCAGGGCTTCCTTTCCATTTCAGCTTAAGTCTCTCCCTCTGCAAGAAGCCCCTCTCATTCCTCATCAGTCTTAGTGCTTTTCCTCTGAGATTATCTCCAACTGATCCTGCGTGTATCTTGTTTATACATAACTGTTTGCAAGCTGCCTCCTCCACTGGACTGTGAGCTCCCTGAGATTAGGGATCATTTGGGGGGGGCCTTTCTTTGGATCCCCAACACTTAGCACAATGCCTGGCACACTGAGTGCTTAATAAATATTAGTTAGTTATTGGTGAGGTTTTTTTAATAACCCAAAGGGAATTTTCATGTAGCCCAGTTCTGGGCATCTCAAACATAAGAGGTATGTGTTTGTAAATATTAGGTCAATCTGGAACCTACCTAGGTTATGACCAAATAATATCATAAGATATATTACATATTTAAGGAGTTAGATGATCTTAGAAAAATCAATAATAGTGTATTTTACCTTTCAAAAGATTCTTTATGTCAACAGCGTAACAATAAAGTACAAAGTGACTAGCT